TCACACATGTGATAAATGTCATACATGTGATAAATGTCACACATGTTGATAAATGTCACACATGTTGATAAATGTCACACATGTGATAAATGTCACACATGTGATAAATGTCACACATGTTGATAAATGTCACACATGTGATAAATGTCATACATGTGATAAATGTCATACATGTGATAAATGTCATACATGTTGATAAATGTCATACATGTGATAAATGTCACACATGTTGATAAATGTCACACATGTGATAAATGTCACACATGTTGATAAATGTCATACATGTGATAAATGTCACACATGTTGATAAATGTCACACATGTGATAAATGTCACACATGTTGATAAATGTCACACATGTGATAAATGTCACACATGTTGATAAATGTCATACATGTTGATAAATGTCACACATGTGATAAATGTCATACATGTTGATAAATGTCATACATGTTGATAAATGTCATACATGTGATAAATGTCATACATGTTGATAAATGTCATACATGTGATAAATGTCATACATGTTGATAAATGTCATACATGTGATAAATGTCATACATGTTGATAAATGTCACACATGTTGATAAATGTCACACATGTTGATAAATGTCATACATGTGATAAATGTCACACATGTTGATAAATGTCACACATGTGATAAATGTCATACATGTTGATAAATGTCATACATGTGATAAATGTCACACATGCGATAAATGTCATACATGTGATAAATGTCACACATGTTGATAAATGTCACACATGTTGATAAATGTCACACATGTGATAAATGTCACACATGTTGATAAATGTCACACATGTTGATAAATGTCACACATGTGATAAATGTCACACATGTTGATAAATGTCATACATGTTGATAAATGTCACACATGTGATAAATGTCACACATGTTGATAAATGTCACACATGTTGATAAATGTCACACATGTGATAAATGTCACACATGTTGATAAATGTCACACATGTTGATAAATGTCATACATGTGATAAATGTCACACATGTTGATAAATGTCACACATGTGATAAATGTCACACATGTGATAAATGTCACACATGTTGATAAATGTCACACATGTGATAAATGTCATACATGTTGATAAATGTCATACATGTGATAAATGTCATACATGTTGATAAATGTCATACATGTGATAAATGTCATACATGTTGATAAATGTCATACATGTTGATAAATATTATACATGATGATAAATGTCACACATGTGATAAATGTCATACATGTTGATAAATGTCATACATGTTGATAAATGTCACACATGTGATAAATGTCATACATGTGATAAATGTCATACATGTTGATAAATGTCACACATGTGATAAATGTCACACATGTTGATTAATGTCACACATGTGATAAATGTCACACATGTTGATAAATGTCACACATGTAATAAATGTCACACATGTTGATAAATGTCATGCATGTGATAAATGTCACACATGTTGATAAATGTCACACATGTTGATAAATGTCATACATGTGATAAATGTCATACATGTTGATAAATGTCACACATGTGATAAATGTCACACATGTTGATAAATATCATACATGTTGATAAATGTTACACATGTGATAAATTTCATACATGTTGATGAATTTCTTACATGTTGATAAATGTCACACATGTGATAAATGTCATACATGTTGATAAATGTCATACATGTGATAAATGTCATACATGTTGATAAATGTCATACATGTGATAAATGTCATACATGTTGATAAATGTCACACATGTTGATAAATGTCACACATGTTGATAAATGTCATACATGTGATAAATGTCACACATGTTGATAAATGTCACACATGTGATAAATGTCACACATGTGATAAATGTCATACATGTTGATAAATGTCATACATGTGATAAATGTCACACATGCCAATAAATGTCACACATGTGATAAATGTCACACATGTTGATAAATGTCACACATGTTGATAAATGTCACACATGTGATAAATGTCACATATGTTGATAAATGTCACACATGTTGATAAATGTCACACATGTGATAAATGTCACACATGTTGATAAATGTCATACATGTTGATAAATGTCACACATGTGATAAATGTCATACATGTTGATAAATGTCACACGTGTTGATAAATGTCACACATGTGATAAATGTCACACATGTTGATAAATGTCACACATGTTGATAAATGTTATACATGTGATAAATGTCACACATGTTGATAAATGTCACACATGTTGATTATTGTCACACATGTGATAAATGTCACACATGTTGATAAATGTCACACTTGTGATAAATGTCATACATGTTGATAAATGTCATACATGTGATAAATGTCATACATGTTGATAAATGTCACACATGTGATAAATGTCATACATGTTGATAAATGTCATACATGTTGATAAATATTATACATGTTGATAAATGTCACACATGTGATAAATGTCATACATGTTGATAAATGTCATACATGTTGATAAATGTCACACATGTGATAAATGTCATACATGTGATAAATGTCATACATGTTGATAAATGTCACACATGTGATAAATGTCACACATGTTGATTAATGTCACACATGTGATAAATGTCACACATGTTGATAAATGTCACACATGTGACAAATGTCACACATGTTGATAAATGTCATGCATGTGATAAATGTCACACATGTTGATAAATGTCACACATGTTGATAAATGTCATACATGTGATAAATGTCATACATGTTGATAAATGTCATACATGTGATAAATGTCATACATGTTGATAAATGTCACACATGTGATAAATGTCATACATGTTGATAAATGTCATACATGTTGATAAATATCATACATGTTGATAAATGTCACACATGTGATAAATGTCATACATGTTGATAAATGTCATACATGTTGATAAATGTCACACATGTGATAAATGTCATACATGTTGATAAATGTCATACATGTTGATAAATGTCACACATGTGATAAATGTCACACATGTTGATTAATGTCACACATGTGATAAATGTCACACATGTTGATAAATGTCACACATGTGATAAATGTCACACATGTTGATAAATGTCATACATGTGATAAATGTCACACATGTTGATAAATGTCATACATGTGATAAATGTCACACATGTTGATAAATGTCACACATGTTGATAAATGTCACACATGTTGATAAATGTCATACATGTTGATAAATGTCACACATGTGATAAATGTCATACATGTGATAAATGTCACACATGTTGATAAATGTCACACATGTTGATAAATGTCATACATGTTGATAAATGTCATACATGTTGTATAATGTTAAAGTGTCCTGGATCATCACAGTCCTTCTTGTTAGACACTAACTGTCCAACAGACTCTGCATCAGAGGAAAACCTCTAAAACCCAAAGGTGTTTTAGAGGTTTCTCAGGAAACGTGAGAAACCTCAGATCCACAGAGAGAGCCTCCTGCTGGGACTCTGATGAGCACAGGGATTGGCCTCCTGCTGGGACTCTGATGAGCACAGGGATTGGCCTCCTGCTGGGACTCTGATGAGCACAGGGACTGGCCTCCTGCTGGGGCTCTGAGGAGCACAGGGACTGGCCTCCTGCTGGGACTCTGATGAGCACAGGGATTGGCCTCCTGCTGGGACTCTGATGAGCACAGGGACTGGCCTCCTGCTGGGGCTCTGAGGAGCACAGGGACTGGCCTCCTGCTGGGACTCTGAGGAGCACAGGGACTGTCCTCTTGCTGGGACTCTGAGGAGCACAGGGACTGGCTCCTGCTGGGACTCTGAGGAGCACAGGGACTGGCCTCTTGCTGGGACTCTGAGGAGCACAGGGACTGGCTCCTGCTGGGACTCTGAGGAGCACAGGGACTGGCCTCCTGCTGGGACTCTGAGGAGCACAGGGACTGGCCTCTTGCTGGGACTCTGAGGAGCACAGGGACTGGCCTCTTGCTGGGACTCTGAGGAGCACAGGGACTGGCCTCCTGCTGGGACTCTGAGGAGCACAGGGACTGGCCTCCTGCTGGGACTCTGAGGAGCACAGGGACTGGCCTCCTGCTGGGACTCAGAGGAGCACAGGGACTGGCCTGACACTGTTCAGATCCAGGTTAAAACTGTTTCTAACGCTGATCATTAGAATGTTGATATTCTGTGTTTTTAATGTTTTCTGTGTGAACAATAATCTACAGTTTTAACACAAACTCCTCCATGTTCCTCTTGTTGTTGTTGATGGTTCAATCACAAAAATTAAGTGTATGGTGTCGTACGTGACTGAGCTCTGTTTTGCAGCTGGATCCAGAGCTGGACCTCATTCCTTCCCCACTTCCCCTTGACCTGAGAGTGAGTCACCACTGCATAAACAATACACACATAGATACATAGACACATACTGACATAGACCTGTACTGTTTTACTACCTTTACCTGCTCCCTGTTTAACAACGTTGGAGATAAGTCAACTTAGAAGCGTGGCTAACCACTCTACACCTGCATTTATAGACTTAGATGCACAAATACAGTTTGGTGCATCATTTAAAGTGCATTAAAAACAGTGCATTCAAAATGAACTTAGAAGCACTTAGAACCGCTCCACAACTGCATTAATGAACTTAGAAGTATGGCTAACCACTCCACACCTGTGCTCGGGAACTTAAAAGCACAGCTAACCACTCCACACCTGCGTTAGGAAACTTAGAAGCCCAGCTAACCGCTCACATTTTGTCATTTCATGTTTATAATGTGAAATAATATCTTTAGTACATATTATACAGTTGAGTCTGAAAGGTCAAAAATGCTTTCCACCTGTTACTCCCGGTGCAGCCACCAGAGGGAGCTGCAAACACACACATTTCAGTAATGGCCGAAATTGATTTACGCCGACACTTAAATAAAAATAGTCCTGGTGTAAATGTGTTGTCCTCCTCAGTGTAACAGCGCCCTCTGCTGGTAGAACCATGCACCTGCTGCTGCTGGGCCTCTCCCCGCTCTGGCTCCTGGTGTGTGGGCAGAACGACACCGAGCCCATCGTGCTGGAGGGGAAGTGCCTGGTGGTGTGCGACTCCACTCCTTCCGCGGAGCCAGGAGGGGGCGCTCTGGGCATGTCCGTGCGCTCGGGCACCGGCAGAGTGGCCTTCTCCGCGCTCCGCAGCACCAACCACGAGCCCAGCGAGATGAGCAACCGCACCATGACCATCTACTTCGACCAGGTCTGATCCCGGTCCCTGTCTCCAACACACACATGTGCGGATTACATTCAGCTTTTTGCCATTTGCAGTAAAACCACAGTGGAATACACGTGCAAGAGTCTTTAGTGTGTGCACCAGACAAGTACAGGAATAAAACAAGATAAAAAGTATAAAGGTGCGTTCAGACCGGACTTAACTTCGACTTCAAAAGCGTCAGGTTTGCATTGAAAGTGAACGGTGAAGCGCGTCAGGTGACGCCGCCCGGTGTCACTTGGCGCGCGTCAAAAGCTTCAAAATACACACACATTACCTTTTTGATGCGTGTTACGCTCGCGTCTCTTTTGGCGTCAAAAAATCCCCCAAAGTTGAGCAAAGCTCAGCTTTTGGAGCTTGACGCCGGGCTTCAACCAATCAGGAGCAGCAGCAGCAGCAGCAGCAGCAGCAGCAGCAGCAGGTCTGTCTCTGTCATGGAGAGAAGTCATGTAGCTGCTGCTGTTTTATTGTCAGTATTGTTATTAGCAACATTATATGTACCAGTAGTAACGTTTTTAATAAGTGAGTAACAAAATCAACGTACACAAGTGTCTTCGTGAGCTTCAATACAAGTGGAAACTGTCCAGTTCCTCTCTCTCTACAGTCTCTCTACAGTCTCTCTACAGTCTCTCTACGGTCTCTCTCTGGTCTCTCTCTCTGGTCTCTCTCTGGTCTCTCTCTGGTCTCCTTCGAGTCTCTCTTGAGTCTCTCTCTGATCTTTCTCTGGTCGCTCTCTTGTCTCTCTCTGGTCTCTCTCTGGTCACTCTCTCGAGTCTCTCTCTGGTCTCTCACTCTGGTCTCTCTCTGGTCACTCTCTCGAGTCTCTCTCTGGTCTCTCTCTGGTCTCTCTCTGGTCACTCTCTCGAGTCTCTCTCTGGTCTCTCTCTGGTCTCTCTCTGGTCACTCTCTCGAGTCTCTCTCTGGTCTCTCTCTGGTCTCTCTCTGGTCTTTCTCTGGTCTATTTTTGGTCTCTCTTTCTGGTCTCTCTCTGGTCTCTCTAAGATGTCTCTCTTTGGTCTCTCTCTGGTCTCTCTCTAGACCAGAGAGAGACCAGGTCTAGGTACTGATGTTGACAAAAGGCCTATAGGTACTGGTGACATAAGGCCTATAGGTACTGGTGACATAAGGCCTATAGGTACTGGTGAAATAAGGCCTATAGGTACTGGTGAAATAAGGCCTATAGGTACTGGTGACAAAAGGCCTATAGGTACTGGTGAAATAAGGCCTATAGGTACTGGTGAAATAAGGCCTATAGGTACTGGTGAAATAAGGCCTATAGGTACTGGTCAAATAAGGCCTATAGGTACTGGTGAAATAAGGCCTATAGGTACTGGTGAAATAAGGCCTATAGGTACTGGTGACATAAGGCCTATAGGTACTGGTGACATAAGGCCTATAGGTACTGGTGACATAAGGCCTATAGGTACTGGTGAAATAAGGCCTATAGGTACTGGTGACATAAGGCCTATAGGTACTGGTGACATAAGGCCTATACTGTAGGTACTGGTGAAATAAGGCCTATAGGTACTGGTGACATAAGGCCTATAGGTACTGGTGAAATAAGGCCTATAGGTACTGGTGAAATAAGGCCTATAGGTACTGGTGACATAAGGCCTATAGGTACTGGTGACATAAGGCCTATACTGTAGGTACTGGTGAAATAAGGCCTATAGGTACTGGTGAAATAAGGCCTATAGGTACTGGTTACTTGTGTCGTGGTGAAACTCAGCTTCAGGTCCATCTTGAATGTTTTCTTGCAGATCCTGGTGAACGTGGGCAGCCATTTTGACCCAGCGCGGAGCATCTTCGTGGCTCCGAGACGAGGCGTGTACAGCTTCAGCTTCCACGTGGTGAAGGTCTACAACAGACAGACCATACATGTAAGAGCACAGGGACCAGGGAGAGGACTGAGCACAGGGACCAGGGAGAGGACTGAGCACAGGGACCAGGGAGAGGACTGAGCACAGGGACCAGGGAGAGGACTGAGCACAGGGACCAGGGAGAGGACTGAGCACAGGGACCAGGGAGAGGACTGAGCACAGGGACCAGGGAGAGGACTGAGCACAGGGACCAGGGAGAGGACTGAGCACAGGGACCAGGGAGAGGACTGAGCACAGGGACGAGGGAGAGTACTGAGCACAGGGACGAGGGAGAGTACTTTGGTCTTTTTTGTCTCCCCCTGGTCATTTGGTGTCTCACTCTCTGGTCTCTCTCTTGTCTCTCTCTGGTCTCTCTCTGGTCTCTCTCTCTCTCTCTCTCTCTGGTCTCACTCTCTTGTCTCTCTCTTGTCTCTCTCTGGTCTCTCTCTGGTCTCTCTCTCTCTCTCTCTGGTCTCTCTCTGGTCTCGCTCTCTGGTCTCTCTCTGGTCTCTCTCTCTGGTCTCTCTCTGGTCTCTCTCTGGTCTCTCTCTCTCTCTCTCTCTCTCTGGTCTCTCTCTTGTCTCTCTCTTGTCTCTCTCTGGTCTCTCTCTGGTCTCTCTCTCTCTCTCTCTCTGGTCTCTCTCTGGTCTCTCTCTCTCTCTCTCTTGTCTCTCTCTGGTCTCTCTCTCTAGTCTCTCTCTCTCTCTTGTCTCTCTCTGGTCTCTCTCTGGTCTCTCTCTCTCTCTCTCTTGTCTCTCTCTGGTCTCTCTCTCTCTCTGGTCTCTCTCGCTAGTCTCTCTCTCTCTCTTGTCTCTCTCTTGTCTCTCTCTGGTCTCTCTCTGGTCTCTCTCTCTCTCTCTCTGGTCTCTCTCTGGTCTCTCTCTCTCTCTCTCTTGTCTCTCTCTGGTCTCTCTCTCTAGTCTCTCTCTCTCTCTTGTCTCTCTCTGGTCTCTCTCTCTCTCTCTCTGGTCTCTCTCTAGTCTCTCTCTCTCTCTCTTGTCTCTCTCTTGTCTCTCTCTGGTCTCTCTCTGGTCTCTCTCTCTCTCTCTCTGGTCTCTCTCTGGTCTCTCTCTCTCTCTCTCTTGTCTCTCTCTGGTCTCTCTCTCTCTCTGGTCTCTCTCTCTAGTCTCTCTCTCTCTCTGGTCTCTCTCTGGTCTCTCCTATCCTTACCTTGTGTATGAACTGTGCCATACCAATAACCCTCTTCCTCTCTGTGTGTTGGTTCTCAGGTGAGTCTGCTTCTGAACAACTGGCCGGTGATCTCAGCCTTTGCCGGGGACCAGGACGTGACCAGGGAGGCAGCCACCAACTCAGGCCTGGTGCTGATGGAACGAGGGGACAAGGCCAACCTGAAGCTGGAGCGAGGGAACTTGATGGGCGGCTGGAAGTACTCCACCTTCTCTGGATTCATGGTCTTTCCTCTGTAGGAACCAGAGATGAAGGGAACATCTGTTCTGCTTGGTATCGCAATATGTTCTCTCTCTCTGGTCTCTCTCTGGTCTCTCTCTGGTCTCTCTCTCTGGTCTCTCTCTGGTCTCTTCCTGCTCTCTTCCTGCTCTCTCTCTGCTCTCTCTCTGGTCTGCCTCTGGTCTCTCTCTAGCCTCTTTCTGGTCTCTCTCTGGTCTCTCTCTGGTCTCTCTGGTCTCTCTCTGGTCTCTCTGGTCTCTCTCTGCTCTCCCTGGTCTCAGATAAATCAATGCAGTAGAGCAAAGTATTGGGATATTTAATTGAGTCCTTTAGTTTCACTTTAGTGTTTCATAGTTCTTTCTGGTCCTCTCCATCTGTGGTTTATGGTCCTCTCCATCTGTGGTTTATGGTCCTCTCCATCAGTGGTTTATGGTCCTCTCCATCAGTGGTTTATGGTCCTCTGTGACGTCTGCTTTGACTCTAGTCTGTTGTATGTAAATAATGGAGCTCCCCTTCATGGTGTCGTGTCTGTTTTCCGGACTGTAGTAAATGTGAAATATGTTAAAGGTTTATAGGAGGATATTCTACTCCGGGTGGATCCTCAAGACGATTGGTCCTTCCAACTGTCAATCATTCTGGAGCTCGTCCAAAAAGACCAGAGAGTTTTGTTTAAAATGTGGAGAGGGCGGTTCTTTCCTAAAATGTGGGTAAATCCTCCTTTATACCTTTAAGAATCGCAATAATATTGAATTGTCCCATTTATACCAATTCACACTCAGAGTAAGAACCAGGACGATCCCTAATCTCTAATCCCTAATCCCACTTTTCCAAATGCATGTAAACAGTTGAATAAAGACTGATCTGTGTGACTCTGAGATTTGTTTTTGTCGTAGAGTTTTCATATTTCAGCACAAACCAATAAAAAGGTCTCCAACCATCGGCACCTTGTTTACACCCGTGTCCACGCCCACTTTGTGTGAGGAGCAGAAGTGGGCGTGGCTTCCCAGTGATTCAGTGGCTGTTGCTGTAAACTTTAGCTTTAGTCATTCTTGCTCTCATGTTTTACTATTGTCCTCCAGACTCTGTAACGATCATTGTGAGAGTAATTAGTGACTCGTCAGGGCAGATTACAGCTTTATATTTCCCACATTTGGTCATCGCTGATGCAAGACGGATTTACCCTCAGGACAAATGTGTTTATTAGAACAAACATGACACATTCTCTGACGAATCTGCAGCTCCTCAAAACACATTTCATTCTGTTCCTTTTTGTATCGACTTTAACCACAGCAGTATTTACTCTGAGGACTTTACGAAACTGTTGATTCACCAACAACAGATCAGAGAAACAAACAGTTCAAACACAGGAAATGCAACGATTACTTTGGAACAAGGACAGAGACCTGAGACCAGGACTAATGTGAGAGGACTTCAGGACAGAGACCTGAGACCAGGACTAATGTGAGAGGACTTCAGGACAGAGACCTGAGACCAGGACTAATGTGAGAGTACTTCAGGACAGAGACCTGAGACCAGGACTAATGTGAGAGGACTTCAGGACAGAGACCTGAGACCAGGACTAATGTGAGAGGACTTCAGGACAGAGACCTGAGACCAGGACTAATGTGAGAGGACTTCAGGACAGAGACCTGAGACCAGGACTAATGTGAGAGGACTTCAGGCCAGAGACCTGAGACCAGGACTAATGTGAGAGGACTTCAGGCCAGACCTGAGAGCAGGACTAATGTGAGAGGACTTCAGGACAGACCTGAGACCAGGACCAGAGTGAGAGGACTTCAGGACAGAGACCTGAGACCAGGACCAGAGTGAGAGGACTTCAGGACAGAGATCTGAGACCAGGACCAGAGTGAGAGGACTTCAGGTCCTGGTTGCTGGGAGTATGTTGCTGGTTCCGGTCACATGGTGAGCTCCTCTGTTGTCTTGAGTTGAGCACAGAACGCTCTGTCTTTACTGTCACACCCAGAGCTCAGGTTGTGTAAGTGGAAAGACGTTATTGTCGAGCAGTGTTTTGACAGACGTGAGAGGAATCAGACTCAGACAAAACGGATCTTGGTTCGACAAAGCCTCCGGGCTGTTTTATTCACAAAATGGTCGTTAATTTCAGACAGACCTAAAGACACAGATACATTATATATGGAAATGTACGTCATTGTAAAAAGGCCAAACCTCCGGCATCAAAAAGCCTAAACAACAAAAGTCTCTGTGGTGCTTCTGACCTCCACAAGGCCGAGTTATTAGAACTATTGTGTCTTGTGCAGGACATGGGTCACTGTTTACCACAGACGCCCTTCTGCTTTTTAACAAGATTAAATGGAAACTGTCAGATCCACAACATGAACAAACACCAGTGTTCTGTACCCAGCTAGCTTACATTTACCAATCATTTATCTGTTGTGTCCCTTAAAACATGTATCTCTCCACATAGTTTGGTTGTTTGTTGTTTAAAAAAATATACGGTGCAGGATTCACTTCTTTACTTTTTATTTCAACAGAATTATGAACCATTTCACTTCCACTTCACAGTCGTCTGTTTACTTTCAACACATCTGTATATTTATGGTTGTAAAGACGACAAACTGTGTGAACGTTGCAGCTGTGTCCCTGAAACACACAACTCTGGGCTGGAGAGAATACGAGTCTGGTTAGTGCCTTCCAAGCAAAAAGCCAGAAGTAGAAAATGGTTCTCTCTGGACGCACTGACCCTGACTTTATGGCGGGAAATATCACTGGAAACCGACAAGATGGAGACCACGCAAAGCTCTAGGTTCAGTTTTCATTTTCACAGCTGCTGTTAAAATGCAGAATGATGTAGGTTGTCACTCCCGTATTCGTCCCGGAAACCGGATTTGTCCGGAAGTTCAGTTTGCGCATGTCAAAAAGTTTAATAAGTCCTTAAGTGGAGACTGGTTAAGTTTAGGCGTCTGAGTAAGATGGTTAAGGTTAGGGTTAAGGCTGGGTTGGGGTTATTTTATGGGAATGTCTGGTTAAGTTTAGGCATAACAAGGTAGTTTTTTATTTTTACTTCCGCTTCCGTCCAGATTCTGTGACGTAATCTACTGCTGCGTATGCTCATTGGATCAAACTGAACTTCCGGACGAATCCGGTTTCCGGGACGAATCCGGGAGTGACAAGGTACTCTCTGAGGGTCTGGCACAGGAAGTGAGTACACTGCCGAGAGGGGGGCTGGGCACGGGGCTGGGGGTCGTGTTGTAAAGTTTATCTGCCCCCTACTGGCCGGGCGCTAGAACTACATCGTTTTTCAACCTCATGTGAACGCTGAGAAATGTGCATTAGGAGCCTGGTCGTTTCTGTTAATAGCCTGGAAACGTCTGCGCAGCGTCTCAGTATAAACAGGGCCTCTAAATGTAGATCATTATTAAACTATGATTTTTAAGAAGACCAGGTCATTTTCTGTTTTGGTCACTCCCTGTTCTACAATGTTCTGGTTTTTGTCTCAATCAAAACCCTAAATAAAGAATTAAATAAAAAAATGTGAAAACCAACATTATCTATTCACAGTAGATTCCGCTCGAGGTTCGTCGGTGTAATTACGTGGTACAGACGTCTATAAATAGTTAGCTTAGCGCTCGCTCCGGTCACGCCTTCATCAACACAAAGGTTCTATCGTGTTTAGACTTGGGCTTAAAGAGGAAAGGAATGTGGTACGGTTAGCATCACACGGGAATGTTTTTCTATAGAGACAAACACAGGAAAAAGTCCAATACTTTGCAACTTTTGTGTAGGATCAGTGACTGTGGTTTTCCCCAGACCTCACACGGTTATGGAGGTTTAGGCAAGTTTATCTGTATAGCACAGTTCATACAGAAGGCAGCTCAAAGAACAAAACAAGGCATTCAACTCATAAATAATCACAGTGCATTAAAAAGAGTGTTAGCTAAACCGTTTTTAACCTGGATTTGAACCTTGTCAGAAAAGAAGGCTCCTTTTGACTTCCATGTAAAAGTGAACTCCTTGAGCTCAGTCACTGTTTGTGTCTCGTTTTGGGCTTAGATCCAAGTTTAATCTATGGTTTAATCTATGGTTTAATTTATGGTTTATCGCTCTCTCTGTGATCCTGGTGTTTATAAGTGATATTGTCCCAGACGTACATGTAGGAGATGATCATGGACCAGAGTTTACACATGGTAAGACCAGACTTACATGTAGGAAATGATCATGGACCAGAGTTTACACATGGTAAGACCAGACTTACATGTAGGAAATGATCATGGACCAAACAAACAAACAAATAAATACATAATTCTGAAAGTTAATAACAATAGTAATACAGCATCAGTGTGTGGACCATGAATACTGGAAAAATAACGATTGTAAAACACAAAACCACATCAGTTTCAGGACTTGCTGCTGTTTCAGAAGCTGATGAAGCACATTGGGGCAAACATGAGAGAACTGAGGTTAAAATGAACCAAATAATAACAATTATGTCCACACCGTCATTGTGTTGCATCCACACGGAAACGCAACAACGGAGAAGACTGAATCTGAAAGTGAAAGTGAAAGTGACAGCTGGGAGTCAGAGTGTGGGTTTGTCCTTGTGCAGTTTCCTGGTGTCGACTCTAGAGGGCGCACTGGGGTGGCGTCTGCGCTCCAAACCCTGGATGTTCATCACGTTGTTGTTGCCGCATTGCAGCCCGGTCACATGGCTGCAGGTGATGTTCAGGTACGGCAGGGGGCGCTGTGACGCAGACTGAGGGTTGGAGAGCTGACGCTGCAGGAGAAGAAGAAGAAGAGAGAGCGGGAATTTAGGCCCAGTCCCAATACCCACACTGCACCCTACGCCCTCCTATGAAGTGTGCATTTGTTTGAAGTGCACACAGGGCTGGAGTGCGCAGGTTACAAGTGTGCTCAAAAGGCAGAATTGGGACAGTGCACACTGAGTGCAGGTGACGTCATCGACTCATTTTCAGACCTAAACTTTATAAAAATTAAAGGTAATTTTGTCTGACCCTTTGGGAAACAAAATGAATTGCTTCGCACACGTTAACATACATGTATATTAGTTGTTTTTAATTAGAGATAGCTGTATAATGTTAAGTTAAATGTGGGTAACTAACTATCTGGTCAGTTTTCATACATTCTAAGATTATTGTACTAAGTGTAAAGTTTAAATTGAATGTTATATAAACGCTTGTTTTAAAAAGTTATTAAATTGTTAAAGCACAATGTCCGTAATTCTTCATCAGACGTTTATGCTTCTTTCCAAGTAACATAGCAAAACTTATTTACACACATACAGCATATATATTACAAAATGTATATTTAAATGCATTTTCCCAACGTTTTGATGTGTACCGCAAAGAATTATGGGCAATATCCTTCGCCAGAGTGCGCATAGATGCAGGCTACGGCGAAGTGTGGATCAGGGGCGCAAAGGGGGCGGGGCCAAAGACCTCCCTGGAGAATTGGGACTTGACCCTACGCACTCGCACACTTTATCGGGAACGCGCAAATGAGGGGCGCGAGGGTGGAAATGCGAGTATTGGGACGGGGCCTTAGACTCCATTCAATGTGTCTTCTCTGTCGCTGCTACATGTGGCTCAGGGCAAGAAGGTTCTCAAACTACACACAAGTCACAGAGGGACTATAACGAGCCGTGGAGCTGTGTTTGGGTGAGTGAAGCTCTCACCGTCAGGGTTTGGGCTGTTGCACACGCTGCTCTTTCCTTTATACATTTGTGGAAACTTTCTATATTGCTTTATGCTGATGAGAAACTTTCCGTATTGTGATTCTCTCTGGTTTCTTCCTCTGGTCTCTCTTTCTACTCTCTCTGTCTTGTATCGCTCTCTCTCTCTCTCTCTCTCTCTCTCTCTCTCTTTATACTCTCTCTGTCTTGTATCTCTCTCTCTCTCTCTGGATTCTCTTTCTATTCTCTCTGTCTTGTATCTCTCTCTCTGGTTTCTTTTTCTTCTCTCTCTGTCTTGTATCTCTCTCTGGTCTCTCTCTTGTTTCTGTCTAATTTCTCTCTGGTTCTAGTCCACAGTCCGTGTGGGTTTTGGCTGCAGTACCGCGGGTGGCCTCTAGTCCATGTGGAGACGGCTTATCATATTTCTCAAGGATGGATCTAAACAAACTACAATACTAGCAGTAATTGTTTGTGTCATGGCGCCCTCTGGTGGCTGTTTGGTGCAGAAAGAAGATGGCACAATGTTTGGGAGGAGAGAGAGGAGGAGAGAGGAAAGGAGAGGAGGAGAGATGAGAATGGGGGAGAGGAGAGAGGAGAGGAGAGTGGAAAGAAAAAAGGAGAGGATGAGAGTAAGAGAGACATATTTTCCACAAGGACAACTTTATAAAGGAAAGAGCAGCACAGGTAACAGCCCAAACTCTGACAGTGAGAGCTTCATTCACCCAAACACAGCTCCACGCCTCGTTACGCTGTCCTTAAGTATTGTCTGGTGTGACTGACCTGATACTGGGCTTTGGGTGAGGAGAGAGAAGGGGGAGGGCCCTTAGGTTTGGCTGATGAGGAGGAGGAGGCGGCGCGGGAGGAGGAGGCTTTTGAGGAGGTGTCGCGGGAGGTGGAGGAGGTGGCTGTTGAGGAGGCGGCGCGGGAAGAGGAGGGGTGGTGTGTGCTCTCGCCGATCGGTTTCACTGATGAAGACAATTTGGCACTTTCGCTCAGCGGCAAAGACTTTTCTGGAATAAACACAACCAAAACAAAAACGCACGCTATTTAGAGTAGAGTAGAGTAGAGTAGAGTAGAGGAGGGTAGAGTAGGGTAGAGCAGAGTAGAGTAGGGTAGAGGAGGGTAGAGTAGGGTAGAGTAGGGTAGAGCAGAATAGAGTAGAGTAGGGTAGAGTAGAGTAGAGTAGGGTAGAGTAGAGTAGGGTAGAGTAGAGTAGAGTAGAGTAGAGTAGGGTAGAGTAGGGTAGGGTAGAGTAGTGTAGAGTAGTGTAGAGTACAGTAGAGCAGAGTAGAGTAGGGTAGGGTAGAGTAGAGTAGAGTAGTGTAGAGTAGTGTAGGGTAGAGTAGAGTATAGTAGAGCAGAGTAGAGTAGGGTAGGGTAAAGTAGAGTAGAGTAGCGTAGGGTTGAGTAGAGTAGAGAAGGGTAGAGTAGAGTAAGGTAGAGTACAGTAGAGTACAGTAGAGTAGAGCAGGGTAGGGCAGAGTAGAGTAGAGTAGAGCAGTGTAGAGCAGGGTAGTGTAGAGTAGAGTAGTGTAGAGTAGTGTAGGGTAGAGTAGAGTACAGTAGAGCAGAGTAGGGTAGGGTAAAGTAGAGTAGAGTAGCGTAGGGTAGAGTAGAGTAGGGTAGAGTACAGTAGAGTAGAGTAGAGTAGAGTAGAGAAGGGTAGAGTAGAGTAGGGTAGAGTAGAGTAGGGTAAAGTAGGGTAGGGTAGAGTAGAGTAGAGTAGAGTAGGGTAGAGTAGAGTAGAGTAGAGTAGAGTAGAGTAGAGTAGAGTAGTGTAGAGTAGGGTAGGGTAGAGTAGAGTAGGGTAGGGTAGATTAGAGTAGGGTAGGTAGAGTAGAGTAGGGTAGGGTAGAGTAGAGTAGAGTAGAGCAGGGTAGGGTAGAGTACAGTAGAGTAGGGTAGAGTAGAGTAGAGTGGAGTAGAGTAAACTAGAGTAGAGTAGAGTAGAGTAGAGTAGAGTAGAGCAGGTAGGGTAGAGTAGAGTAGGGTAGGGTAGAGTAGAGTAGGGTAGAGAAGAGTAGAATAGAGTAGAGTAGAGTAGAGCAGGGGTAGAGTAGAGTACAGTAGGGTAGAGTAGAGTACAGTAGAGTAGGGTAGGGTAGAGAAGGGTAGGGTAGAGTAGAGTAGAGTGGGGTAGAGTAGGGAAGGGTAGAGTAGAGTAGAGCAGAGTAGAGTAGAGTAGGGTAGCGCAGAGTAGGGTAGAGTAGAGTAGATTCGGGTAGAATAGGGTGGAGTAGAGTAGATTCGGGTAGGATAGAGTAGAGGAGGGTAGGGTAGAGTAGAGTAGAGTAGGGTAGAGTAGAGTAGAGTAGAGTAGAGTAGAGTAGAGTAGGGTAGAGTAGAGTAGAGTAGAGTAGGGTAGAGTAGAGTAGGGTAGGGTAGAGTAGAGTAGAGTAGGGTAGAGTACAGTAGGGTAGGGTAGAGTAGAGTAGAGTAGAGTAGAAGTAGAGTAGGGTAGGGTAGGGGTAGAGTAGAGTAGGGTAAGGTAGGGTAGGGTAGAGTAGAGTAGAGTAGGGTAGAGTAGAGTAGAGTAGGGTAGAGTAGAGTAGAGTAGGGTAGAGTAGAGTAGAGGAGAGTAGGGTAGAGTAGAGTAGAGTAGAGTAGGGTAGGGGAGGGTAGGGAAGGGTAGAGTAGAGTGGGGTAGGATAGGGTAGAGTAGAGTAGGGTAGAGTAGGGTAGGGTAGAGTAGAGTAGAGTAGTGTAGAGTAGAGTAGGGTAGGGTAGGGGTAGAGTAGAGTAGAGCAGAGTAGGGTAGAGTAGAGTAGAGTAGAGTAGAGTAGAGTAGAGTAGGGTAGAGTAGAGTAGAGTAGGGTAGGGTAGAGTAGAGTAGGGTGGAGTAGAGTAGGTTAGAGTAGAGTAGAGTAGGGTAGAGTAGGCTAGGGTAGGGTAGAGTAGAGTAGGGTAGGGTAGAGTAGGGTAGGGTAGGGTAGAGTAGAGTAGGGGAGGGTAAGGGAAGGGTAGGGAGGGTAGGGTAGAGTTAGGGTAGGGTAGGGTAGAGTAGAGTAGGGAGGGTACGGGGTACGCGCATGTGTAGGGTAGCGGGTAGGGTACGCGTAGCTATCGACGTAGGTACGTACGGTACGTAGTCGTCTACGTAGCGAGGTGAGCTTCGCGTCGACGGGACGTCTACGCGACATTACTCGGTCTAGCTTGAGTAGGGTACTCGGAGGTGTAGTACGGTCCGGTACTCTACCGCCACTCTACTCTACTTTTCGCCACGAGTACTTCAATCGGTGAATGTAGACTGCACGCTACAGTCGAGTACTCGTACGGTCCCGTCTACTGTACACTACGCGACGCTACGAGTACGTACAGCACGACAGTACGAGTACAGTACGCGAGCTCGGTACGTAGATACGTAATACTAAGCAGGTAGCGCGATCGCGTAGCTAGGCCTAAGTAGAGAGCGCTATAGCTACGTTAGGGCAAGTTGCGCTAGGGCCGCTACGAGTAGGCTTGATCATCGGAGGCTAGACCGTCCAGTACGTAGATCGCGTTACGCTAACGACGTACGCGGCGGGACGTCGACTACGTTGATAGCGTACAGGACGGTGGGGACGCGAAGCACGACTACGACTGGTAGCAGTAAGCACATCTGGAAGCCGCCCAGAAGTACGTCGGGACGCGCCGCGACGTTACGCTAGAGTCGACCGCGACGGTGCGTGACGGGCCGGTACGCGACTCGAGATAGGGTAATACGAGAGCACTAGGACTCTACGTAGGACGGTACGTCGACCGGGACGTCGACGTAGGGACTGGTACGACGCGTACACGTACCGCGGAGACGGCTCGCGTACCCAGTACCGACCGAGAATCTACGCTGACGTCGACTCGACGTACGGCGTACTCAGCGCTACGTAAGCCGCTAGCGTCCACTCGACCCGACTCGAGCCGGGACGTTGGTACGTAGGAATCCGGACCGTCGGAGTCCGAAGCGCGTACCGACCCTCCGCTAGCTATCAGCTCGGACGTCGACCGCACGGGACTGGGACGCGACGCGTCTGGACAGCTACTCGACTCGCTTGAACTGTACTCTTCGCGAACTGGACTTACTCTACGCTACGGGTACGCCTCCATGTAGTGGGGTGACAGGTCGCGTACTCTACGTAGTACGTCTTGACTCTACGTGACTCTACTCTTCTTGAGGTGACTTGCCGGACCGACTCTCCGCGTACGCGACTTTACCGGACGCGTCCTACTTGTAATTTCGGTCCTCTACCGACACTCGTACTCTACGGTACGTTACTGGCGCTACTCGCCTTGTTACGCGTACCGACTATACTCGACAGCTTCGCTACGTGCTTGTACTGTTCGCTACGCTACTTGACTGTTAGTCGACTTCTCTCCATACGCTGACGGTGACGCTTCTCGACTGGACGCGACGACTGTCGCTACCGGGTCTATCTTACGCTCCCTCCTCGACCGTTACGCTGACTCGACCGTGGACGGGGACTCTCCGTTACTCGAATACTACTGTTCTTGGTCGGTTAGTTAATCTACGCTATCTACTCCTCTACGTAACTGGTACTCGACTCTACTTGTCGGTCCCCTACGCGACTCTACTCTACTTTACTTGTGCATAAGGACTCTACCGCATGTTCTCTACTCTACTATACTCTGACGCGACTTATGTCACTTTACACTACTGTACGCTTCTACTCTACGGGACTGTTCGCTACGCTACGCTACGCCACTTGACTTGACTCTACGCTACGTGGACCGCGTTACGGACCCTACTGTTACTCTACGCTACTTCGTCTGTACCTCAACTCTACTTCACCCGAACTCTACCGACCTCTACGCTACGCTAATTCCAGTCCCCCTGGCCAATCCCCGTATCACAAATGCACATGAAGATACAACCCATCCACCGCCTCCCCTACCAGCCCCCCCGCCCCCCCACTCTACACAGAATCATACCCACGTCCCTGCTCCCCCCCATACTCCAAACCCCCACCCTCCCCCCCTGTCACCAATAACACCACCCACCCCCCAGACTACTATAACCCCTCCATCAAACACTGTCTCCTTTAACCCTCCATCACACACTGTCTCCTTTAACCCTCCATCACACACTGTCTCCTTTAACCTTTAAGCAGAGACCAGGAGCAGACACCAGGAGCAGACACCAGGAGCAGAGATCAGGAGCAGACACCAGGAGCAGACACCAGGAGCAGACACCAGGAGCAGAGATCAGGAGCAGACACCAGGAGCAGAGACCAGGAGCAGACACCAGGAGCAGACACCAGGAGCAGACACCAGGAGCAGAGATCAGGAGCAGAGACCAGGAGCAGGGACCAGGAGCAGACACCAGGAGCAGAGATCAGGAGCAGACACCAGGAGCAGACACCAGGAGCAGGGACCAGGAGCAGGGACCAGGAGCAGACACCAGGAGCAGAGCTCAGGAGCAGACACCAGGAGCAGAGATCAGGAGCAGAGACCATGATCCGAGACCAGGAGCAGAGACCAGGAGCAGGGACCAGGAGCAGAGACCGTGAGCAGAAACCGTGAGCAGAGACCGTGAGCAGAGATCAGGAGCAGAGACCGTGATCCGAGACCAGGAGCAGAGACCAGGAGCAGAGACCAGGAGCAGAGACCAGGAGCAGAGACCAGGAGCAGAGACCAGGAGCAGAGACCGCGGTGAGAGTTTCACTTCCTGTTCCATCATTTCCACATCTCTTGGTTTTTGTTTTCATTCCCAGTTTCTGTATTTTTCTTTTTTTCTTGGCGCGGCAGGTGGAGTTTGGTCTCTGAGTCTCTCTCTGGTTCTCTGGGTCTCTGAGTCTCTCTCTGGTTCTCTGGGTCTCTGAGTCTCTCTCTGGTTCTCTGGGTCTCTGAGTCTCTCTCTGGTTCTCTGGGTCTCTGAGTCTCTCTCTGGTTCTCTGGGTCTCTGGATCTCTCTCTGCTTTCTTTGGGTCCTCCACTGAAGTCCCGGTCCTCAGTCTTTCCTCTTGTCTTCTTCCCTGGTCCTGCAGGGGCTGCAGTGTACGGAATAGCAGAGCGCCCCCTGTGAACAGCAGTCGGTACTGTATCTTCACTTCTAATGTCGTGTTTTGGGTTCTCCTCTCTTGCCTCATGACAGTTGCTCAATAAAACCTGACTCAGTTTAAAACTAAAAGTGAAAACCATGTGTTCAGAGAGTTCCCCAAAACACAACACTTCCCTTTAATCTGTGTCAGAAGCCTCGGAGATGATCAGAAAAACAAAATCATCAACTTTTACCTGCACTGGGCCTTTCCCTGTCGGAGCGTCACGGAAACTGTTCTCCTCTTTGACTTTAGAGAAAAACAAAAGTGTTAAAATGTATTAATCAGAGAGAAACCAGAGAGAGACCAGAGAGAGACCAGAGAGAGACCAGAGAGAGACCAGAGAGAGAGACCAGAGAGAGAGAGACCAGAGAGAGCAAGACCAGAGAGAGACCAGAGAGAGAGACCAGAGAGAGAGACCAGAGAGAGAGAGACCAGAGAGAGCAAGACCAGAGAGAGACCAGAGAGAGAGACCAGAGAGAGAGACCAGAGAGAGAGAGACCAGAGAGACCAGAGAGACCAGAGAGAGACCAGAGAGAGAGACCAGAGAGAGACCAGAGAGAGACCAGAGAGAGAGACCAGAGAGAGAGACCAGAGAGAGACCAGAGAGAGACCAGAGAGAGAGACCAGAGAGAGACACCAGAGAGAGACTAGAGAGAGAGACCAGAGAGACCGGAGAGAGACCAGAGAGAGACCAGAGAGAGACCAGAGGGAGAGACCAGAGAGAGACCAGAGAGAGACCAGAGAGAGACCAGAGAGAGAGACCAGAGAGAGAGACCAGAGAGAGACACCAGAGAGAGACCAGAGAGAGAGACCAGAGAGACCAGAGAGAGACCAGAGAGAGAGACCAGAGAGACCAGAGAGAGACTAGAGAGAGAGACCAGAGAGAGACCAGAGAGAGACCAGAGAGAGAGACCAGAGAGAGAGACCAGAGGGAGAGACCAGAGGGAGAGACCAGAGGGAGAGACCAGAGAGAGACCAGAGAGAGACCAGAGAGAGACCAGAGAGAGAGGCCGGAGAGAGACCAGAGAGAGACCAGAGAGAGGCTAGAGAGAGACCGGAGAGAGACCGGAGAGAGGCCAGAGAGAGACCGGAGAGAGACCAGAGTGAGGCCGGAGAGAGGCCAGAGAGAGACCAGAGAGAGACCAGAGAGAGACCAGAGAGAGCTCCCACCTGGTCTATGAATGTGAATGTTCTGAAGTCGCTCTGAGGCTGAGTTCAGATCCTGGTCCTGGAACAGAGGAGTCCACATCACAGACCAGACCATGTGTGAGGTTTGAGGTAAAGCTGAGGTCCCTAACCTCTTTAGAAAGAGCACAGACCACACCATGCTGGTCCCTGTGAGTCACTATCTGACTCTTTGGGCTGAGAGCTGATTGGCAGAGAGAGGGGGGTCTTTCTTTGTCACTTTCAGTCTGAAAAATCTGAACTAAAAATGTGACCGAGACCAGAGAGAGAGACCAGAAGAGAGACCAGAGAGAGACCAAAGAGAGACTACAGAGAGACCAGACAGAGACCAGAGAGAGACCAGAGAGAGACCAGAGAGAGACCAAATAGAGACTAGAGAGAGACCAGAGAGAGACCAAAGAGAGACTAGAGAGAGACCAGAGAGAGAGACCAGAGAGAGACCAGAGAAAAACCAGAGAGAGAGACCAGAGATAGAGACCAGAGATAGAGACCAGAGAGAAAGACCAGAGAGAGACCAGAGAATGACCATAAAGAGACCAGAGAGAGTGAGACCAAGTTTACATGATGTGAAAACTAGCGATAAAATCAAACTGTTTTGAGAGCTATAGGAACCAGTGACGTGGATTTCATTAGTCCCATGGTTGTGGTTTGAAAGTCAGGTACCCCAGCTTTAACCCTGTGCAGGTGTGTGAGAGGCACCAGTATCTGCAGGACCATGTGGACGGCTGAGTGGACCTGGTGTCGGTGTAAAGAGAACAACTCCTCTGTCAGCAGGGAACAGGCTAGAACACAAAACACATTGTCAGTCCTGGGTCTACAGCCTCAGTCCTGGATCTACAGCCTCAGTCCTGGGTCTACAGCCTCAGTCCTGGGTCTACAGCCTCAGTCCTGGATCTACAGCCTCAGTCCTGGGTCTACAGCCTCAGTCCTGGATCTACAGCCTCAGTCCTGGGTCTACAGCCTCAGTCCTGGATCTACAGCCTCAGTCCTGGGTCTACAGTCTCAGTCCTGGGTGTACAGCCTCAGTCCTGGGTCTACAGCCTCAGTCCTGGGTCTACAGCCTCAGTCCTGGATCTACAGCCTCAGTCCTGGGTCTACAGCCTCAGTCCTGGATCTACAGCCTCAGTCCTGGGTCTACAGCCTCAGTCCTGGGTCTACAGCCTCAGTCCTGGGTCTACAGTCTCAGTCCTGGGTGTACAGCCTCAGTCCTGGGTCTACAGCCTCAGTCCTGGGTCTACAGCCTCAGTCCTGGATCTACAGCCTCAGTCCTGGATCTACAGCCTCACTCCTGGTGGTACATGTGGTTTGGGTCGGTGCTGGTCTCACCCTGAGAGTCCGGTCTCTCCGTGGGTCTGGGACTCCAGCACTTCTGCATCAGGTCTGTGAGAGCCGAGAGTCCAGACACCTCCAGCTTCAGGATCTGCTCCAGAGACGGACGGTCGCCCAGAGGGATCCGCAGGCGCACGATGGAGGACAGGGCATCTGGGGGAAACAGGTACCATGAGGAGAGAGACCAGAGCACAGGGACTGGCCTCCTGCTGGGACTCTGAGGAGCACAGGGACTGGCCTCCTGCTGGGACTCTGAGGAGCACAGGGACCGGCCTCCTGCTGGGACTCTGAGGAACACAGGGACCGGACTCCTGCTGGGACTCTGAGGAGCACAGGGACCGGCCTCCTGCTGGGACTCTGAGGAGCACAGGGACTGGACTCCTGCTGGAACTCTGAGGAGCACAGGGACCGGCCTCCTGCTGGGACTCTGAGGAGCACAGGGACTGGCCTCCTGCTGGGACTCTGAGGAGCACAGGGACTGGCCTCCTGCTGGGACTCTGAGGAGCACAGGGACTGGCCTCCTGCTGGGACTCTGAGGAGCACAGGGACCGGCCTCCTGCTGGGACTCTGAGGAGCACAGGGACCGGCCTCCTGCTGGGACTCTGAGGAGCACAGGGACCGGGCTCCTGCTGGTCCCAGAGCCAGGACTAAACATGGGGAGGCAGAGTTTCAGATTTATGCTAAAATAGGAAAATGTTCTAATCCAGATTGAAAACAACTGTGTTTAGTTCCAGATCCAGACTCTGAACTAGGACTAGGGTCTGACTGAGGCTGTGTTTAGCTCCGTCCCCGCTCAGGACCTTTATGTTCTGCTTTCAAACTCTGAGGAACGTCATGGACAGAGCTGTTTTCTGACTTTTAACTGTTCTGTTCGTTGTAATGATAATGACACAGTTCTTCCACCAGAGGGAGGTGTTGCTCAGGTTCTTGTTTAAAACTAGAAGTCTGAGGCTGCGTCTCTGTTCCCAAGTTTGAGACAGGAGCATTCAGACAGAAGGGGCGGGGGGAGGAGATGTCAGCATGGATGTAGATAAACACATGTGCAGGTCTGTGACTGATGAGGAGTCTTACGTGGAAACGGCTGCCTCCAGCTGACAATGGACCAGAGCAGGATCCCCAAACTACAACACAAGAAACACACTTACATCAGACAAAACACACACAGAGACAAGACACACAACAGAGACAAGACACACACTTACATCAGACAAAACACACAACAGAGACAAGACACACAACAGAGACAAGGCACACAACAGAGACAAGACACACACTTACATCAGACAAAACACACAACAGAGACAAGACACACAACAGAGACAACATGGCTGCCTTTGACCTCATAGACCCAGAGCAGTCATTTTGACGGCTCTTAGTATTGGAAGTGTAGTGACTCATCTGTGAGTTGTACGTTTAGCTCATTTTCCCCCGGAGAAGTGACCCCAGAGAGAGACCAGAGAGAGACCAGAGGGAGACCAGAGGGAGACCAGAGGAGTGACCGGTGAACGAGAGACCAGGGAGAGACCAGAGTGAGACCAGAGTGAGACCAGAGGCAGTGACCAGGGAGAGACTGAAGATAGACCAGAGAGAGAGATCAAAGTGACCCTCAGAGAGAGACCAAAGGGAGAGACCAGCAAAAGAGAGACCTAATTGTGACCAGAGAGAGAGCAGAGAGAGACCAGGAAGAGACCAGAGGGAGAGGTCAGAGAGAGTGACCATAGAGACCAGACAAAGACAGACCAGAGAGAGAAAGAGACCAGAGAAATTGCATTGTATTGTGTGTATCATTGTGTGTTGAATGGTGGGAGGGGGTTGCATCCGCTTCATCCAACCCCGTTTCAAACTTGGATCAGTGTGATACCGAGATGGTAGTGAGTTGGAACCTGGATCAGTGTGATACCGAGATGGTAGTGAGTTGGAACCTGGATCAGAGTGATACCGAGATGGTAGTAAGTTGGAACCTGGATCAGAGTGATACCGAGATGGTAGTGAGTTGGAACCTGGATCAGTGTGATACCGAGATGGTAGTGAGTTGGAACCTGGATCAGTGTGATACCGAGATGGTAGTGAGTTGGAACCTGGATCAGAGTGATACCGAGATGGTAGTGAGTTGGAACCTGGATCAGTGTGATACCGAGATGGTAGTGAGTTGGAACCTGGATCAGTGTGATACCGAGACTGTAGTGAGGGAGTGACCTGTAGATGTCGGAGCTCTGCGAGGGTTTGTAGTTGAGCTGGAAAGCCTCCGGGGGCAGATACTTCAGAGTCCCCTCCTCAGCAGCGTCGTCCCCGGAGCCGCGGGTCGACACGTACACTTTGGCCAAACCGAAATCTGTGAGCTGCAGACACCACGGAGAGGTGTGAGGACACAGAGGGAAAGGGTGGCGTGTTGTTTGGACCCGTGAGGAGGACTGCACGGGATATGAGGGTCGAAACTAACTTATCACTTTCAAAATAACAGAGACAGAGGAGAGCAGAGAGAGAGAAGAGAGAGAGAGAGCAGAGAGAGACCAGAGAGACCAGAGAGAAACCAGAGAGAGACCAGAGAGAGAGGCCAGAGAGAGAGAGACCAGAGAGAGAGGCCAGAGAGAGAGAGACCAGAGAGAGACCAGAGAGAGAGGCGAGAGAGAACAGAAAGAGACCAGAGAGAGAGAGAGCAGAGAGAGACCAGAGAGAAACCAGAGCGAGACCAGAGAGAGACCAGAGAGAGAGGCCAGAGAGAGAGGCCAGAGAGAGAGAGACCAGAGAGAGAGGCGAGAGAGAACAGAAAGAGACCAGAGAGAGCAGAGAGAGACCAGAGAGAAACCAGAGAGAGAGGCCAGAGAGAGAGAGAGCAGAGAGAGAACAGAAAGAGACCAGAGAGAGAGAGAGCAGAGAGAGACCAGAAAGAAACCAGAGAGAGAGGCCAGAGAGAGAGAGACCAGTTAACAGCCAGAGAGAGAGACCAGAGAGAGACCAGAGAGACAGGGCAGAGAGAGAGAGAGCAGAGAGAGACCAGAGAGAAACCAGAGAGAGAGACCAGAGAGAGACCAGAGAGAAACCAGAGAGAGACCAGAGAGAGACCAGAGAGAGACCAGAAAGACTAGAGAGAGACCAGAGAGACCAGAGAGATCAGAGAGTGACCAAAAAGACCAGAAAGACCAGAGAGAGACCAGAATAAGAGAGACTAAAGCGAGACCAGTGAGAAACCATAGAGAGACCAAAGAGAAAGACACCAGTGGGTATCAATGGAACAAAGCCTCCTCTATAGTCTTAAACCATGGGGGTTATAGCTGGTCTGGCAGCTGGTTTTATACAATGTGCTGTATAGATAAAGTGCTGTGGATGAAGGGGCCGTGCCTTGGCTTTGAGGGACCCGTCCAGGAGCACGTTGCTGGGCTTCAGGTCCAGGTGCAGCAGCGGAGGCTTCAGGCTGTGGAGGAAGTTAATGCCCAGAGCCACGTGATGAGCCAGTCTGAAGACCAAGGCCCAGGGAGGAGCGCCCCCTAGCTGCTCCTGTGGGAACAACACACAACAGAGATACTGCTACACACACCAGAGGTAATACACACACCAGAGGTACTACAATAGAGAGAGACCAGAGAGAGAGATCAGAGAGATCAAAGAGACCAGAGAGAGACCAGAGAGAGAACAGAGAGAGATCAGAGAGAGGACAGAGAGAGACTACAGAGAGAGACTACAGAGAGAGACCAGAGAGAGACCAGAGAGAGACTACAGAGAGACTACAGAGAGACTACAGAGAGACCAGAGAGAGACCAGAGAGAGAGACCAGAGAGAGACTACAGAGAGACTACAGAGAGACCAGAGAGAGAGACCAGAGACAGACCAGAGACAGACCAGAGAGAGACCAGAGAGAGAGACCAGAGAGAGAGACCAGAGAGAGACCAGAGAGAGAGACCAGAGAGAGACCAGAGAGAGACCAGAGAGAGAACAGAGAGAGAACAGAGAGAGATCAGAGAGAGGACAGAGAGAGACTACAGAGAGAGACTACAGAGAGAGACCAGAGAGAGACCAGAGAGAGACTACAGAGAGACTACAGAGAGACTACAGAGAGACTACAGAGAGACCAGAGAGAGAGACCAGAGAGAGAGACCAGAGAGAGACCAGAGAGAGAGACCAGAGAGTGACCAGAGAGAGACCAGAGAGAGAGACCAGAGACCAGAGACAGACCAGAGACAGACCAGAGAGAGACCAGAGAGAGACCAGAGAGAGAGACCAGAGAGAGACCAGAGAGAGAGACCAGAGAGTGAGACCAGAGAGTGACCAGAGAGAGAGACCAGAGAGTGACCAGAGAGTGACCAGAGAGAGACCAGAGAGAGAGACCAGAGACCAGAGACAGACCAGAGAGAGACCAGAGAGAGACCAGAGAGAGAGACCAGAGAGAGACCAGAGAGAGACCAGAGAGAGAGACCAGAGAGAGAGAGACCAGAGAGAGAGACCAGAGAGAGACCAGAGAGAGACCAGAGAGAGAGACCAGAGAGTGACCAGAGAGAGACCAGAGGAAATCTCATTATAACGGAACAATATTAATAATAATAATAATAATAATAGTAATAATAATAGTAGTAAGTGACCTGCAGCGTGGCCAGACAGCCTCTCTCCATGAACTCCATGACGAGGCCGAGGCGCACACTCTGACCAGCAGGGGGCACTCCTCTGAACACACCCAGCACCTGGATCACATGAGGACTGTTGCTCTGACGCATCAGGTCCATCTCCCGCAGCAGTAGGGACCCACTGAAGGACACAGACCAGG